CTAATTTTTGATTTATTGTAGAGATGCGGTCTTGCCAAGTTTCCTGGGCTGGTCTCAAACCCGCAGGCTCAGGCATTCTACTCTCCTCGGTCTCCAAAAGTGCTGGGATTACAGGCTGAGCCACTGAGCCCAGCCAGATAATTTCTTTATGACTAGTTTTTACACAGAAAGGGAGTGAGGACTAAGAGGAATATTTTTAGGTTTTATGGCTGACTTTGAGTTTGTATGACTGGCTTGTATGACCCGCCTTGAGGAAGCAGGATTCTGGTTTCAATGACTAGCCTCAGGGAAGAATGGGACTGAGAGATATGAGGGCAGAAGGTCAGAGAGAAACTTTGGCTTCTGGGACTACTTCTGAGGCCTTCATTTTGGGGTATCAGAGATTATCAGGGACAGCTGGCTCTTTGGTACAATCTCTTGAGGTGTGTGTGCTAGTCTAAGGTGGTTCTCAACCTTGGCTATATATTGGAATCACCCAGGAGCTTTGAGAAATACAGAGGGTGCCAAAAAAATGTAAAAAGATGGCGTTAGGCCCGGCGCAGTGGTTCACACCTATAATCCCAGCACTTTGGGAGGCCGAGGTGAGCGGATTGCCCGAGCCTGTGGATTCGAGACCAGCCTGGGCAACTTGGTGAGACTTCATCTCTACTATAAATCAAAAAATTAGCCGGGCATGGTGGCATGTGCCTGTAGTTCTAGCTACAGAAGGCTGAGGCAGAAGGATGGCCTGAGCCCAGCAGGTTGAGGCTGTGGTGGCCAGGAGTGTGCCACTGCCCTCCAGCCTGGGTGACTGAGTGAGACTCCTACTCAAAAACAAAAAACAAAAAGATGGCATTAATCAAATGAATGCAAGTGTCATCATGCAACAGGCAGGAGAAAGAAAATGGCGGAAGTACGGTTGCAAGAATGTTATACTACACATTGCTACTGTAATTTAATGCAACTTTGAAAAGTAATACATACATAACATCTCAAAATGTGTATACATTTTTTTGGCATCCGTGGTATATATTTTTAGAATACCTGGCATTGTTGCCTGGGTCTTTTCCCAGAATTTTGGATCTAATGTGTCCGGGCATCAAAATGTTTTGTTTTTTTTTTGAGTTGGAGTCTCACTGTCACTCAAGCTGGAGTGCAGTGGCACGTTCATGGCCATCAGAGCCTCAACCTGCTGGGCTCAGGCAATCCTTCTGCCTCAGCCTTCTAAGTAGCTGGAACTACAGGTGCGTGCCTCCACACCTGGCTAATTTTTTTTATTTATTGTAGAGATGAGGTCTCGCCAAGTTGCTCAGGCTGGTCTCAAACCCAGTGGGCTCAGGCAAACCTCTCGCTTCAGCCTCCCAAAGTGCTGGGATTACAGGCTTGAGCCACCACACCTAGCCATCAAAAAATTTTTAGACCAGCCAGACATGGTGGCTCATGCTTGTAATCCCAGCACTTTGGGAGGCCAAGGAGGGAGAATCACTTGAGCCTAGGAGTTCCAGACCAGCCTAGACAACATAAATAGACCTTGTCTCTACCAAAAAATTATAAAATTAGGCCGGGCTCGGTGGCTCAGCCTGTAATCCCGTGCTTTGGGAGGCCGAGGTGAGTGGATTGCTTGAGCCCGCGGGTTAGAGACCCAACTAGGCAACTTGGCGAGACCTCATTTCTACAATAAATCAAAAAATTAGCCGGGCATGGTAGCATGCGCCTGTAGTTCCAGCTACTTGGAAGGCTGAGGTGGAAGGATCGCTGGAGCACAGCAGGTCGTGGCTGTGGTGGCCACTCCCGGCCGCTGCACTCCAGTCTGAGCGACAGAGTAAGACCCCCAACTCAAAAAAAAAAAAAAGATAAAATTAGCCAAGCATGGTGGCATGCACCTGTAGTCCCAGCTACTCAGGAGACTGAGGCAAAACAATTGCCTGAGTCCAGGAGATTGAGGCTGTGGTAAGCCATGAGCATGATACTGCACTCCAGCTTGGGTGACAGAATGAGACCCCAACTCAAAAAAATATGAAAAAGAAATGAAAACCTCATCATGTGCTTCCGTTGTGTATCCACAATTAATAGCTTTATTTATTTTTGAGTTGGAGTCTCACTCTGTCACCCAGACTGGAGTGCAGTGGCTACTCCCAGCCATCAACCTTCCAAATAGCTGGAATTACAGGCGCGTGCTACCACAGCCGGCTGATTTTTGATTTATTGTAGAGATGAGGTCTCGGCAAGTTGCCCAGGCGGGTCTCGAACCCGCGGGTTCAGGCAATCCACTCACCTCAGCCTCCCAAAGGCACGGGATTACAGGAGCCACTGAGCCTGGCTCACAATTAATAACTTTACAGCAAGGAGATTTTCTTGCATTCCTTCTGCATTTTCTTGCATTTCTTTGCATTATGGATCCTCAATTAGTTTATCAAATAAACAAGAAGGAAACCTGCAAATGCTTGTCAAAGGCTGTTGAAACTTCAAGCACACAGAGATGAATGAACTTTAATTTGTAGGGTCTTAGAGCTTTATTTCTCAAAGTGGGACCCACGAACCAGCAGAATGTCAAGATCACTTGGAGCTTGTTAGAAATACAGAAACTCAGGCCCTACCCCAGGCTGCTGTTCTGGTCATTAGAGCTGCCAACGACTGATTTTCAGCACAATTTTGCCCACCCCTGACACCAAAAGACTTGAACAAATACTAGCATAGTTTCTAGCAGTTCAAGGCCTTGTCCCTGGAAGACCCAGCCCCCATCTCTGCCTGGGAAGCTCAAGACTGCCAAAAGAATTTACTGTTTGTTCCAGTCAATACCTGATCATAGGCTTCTAACCTCCCTTTTCTTAGAGAATTTGCTTTATAAAACGTGCTGTAAATCCTTTCTCTGTCTCTGCGCTATATATGTATCTTTTACAACTCAGGAATGTCTTTCTCAAGGACCTGGGAGCCATCCCTTTGACATGAAATTATCAAGAAAGATAAGGCTAACTTTCAGTCTCTGTGGGAGGCTAAAATCCTAACTTCGATAAACTTGCCAGTTAGCGGAGACAGATAGCCTAGTCACACCACCCCCAACCAGCTTTTTGTAATTTTCCACTTCCCCCATTCTACTGAGCTCCCCTGCACCCACATTCCCCATCCTTACGCTTTCATCCTACCTTTAAAATTTCCAGTCACCTCTGCATAGATTGGAGTTGAGCTCAGTTCTATACTGAAGACTCTTCCCTACTGCAGTAGCTACTGAATAAAATCTGTCTTTATTGCCTTTAGTGCCCAGCTTTGTTTTTCAAGTCTCCATTTTGACAAGATCCTTAGGTCATGTATGTGTACATTAAAGTTTGAGAAGCAGTGTCTTATAATTTTTATCATTCCTTCAACGACTTATAATAAATAGCCCTGAATGGTGGCAAGGAATTATGCCTTTTTGTCAATGAGAGGGTCAGATCTTTGCTTAAGGTCACATTATTAAACTAGAAAATGAATCTACTTCATGACTCAATCCAGTGTTGTTTCCACAATACCATGCTAATCAGAGAAGACCACATTGCACGGGAGGACCAAGGAGAAAAAAGCCAGCAAGAGAGCTCACAATAAGGTTCCTCTCAATGCATCCATTGGTGCAATGTCCTCTTAGGTTCTACTTTTTTAGTTACAAAAACTGTTTCAGAATCATCAAGTGTCTTTTAGGTACTAAAGGGTTCTCATCTGAGTTATCCTATCAGTAGTTGGAGTCCCAGGGATCACAGCTTCTGGGGGATGAGTCATGATACCAACCCCATGCTAGTACTTAAGGGTATGGCCTCAAAGACCTAGGAAGCCCAGCCCATTCTGGGCCTGTGCACACCCCAAAAGTAGTCACTACTACATGAAACCAGAGGCAGGCATGGTCTTTGTCTTGATCCCGAATGGCTCACCCTACTCATCTGCATCCTTAATCCAGATGCTGACTTTCCCAGCTTTACTTCCAAACTCAGTCTCCATTCTTACCGTCCTGGATAACACCTACTCCTTTCCCTCTGGCTGGCTGGTCCTCTGCGTAAACATTCTTCTCCCTATTCCCACCCCTGTCTTTCTACTCCTGGGCACATTTTGTGCCTTGAGTTGACTCCCTGGGGAGAGGTCCCCTCATGGCTCTTGCTGATCTCACATCCACTCACACGACAACATTCAAACATAACAGACTCATAAATTGAGTTCATCCTATGTCCCTTCTCCTTCTGATTCACCAAATTAGGTTAAAATACCAATAGGAAAGCGGCCACCTGTTTTAAATACAAAGTCATTGCTCCAGGAAAGACAGCAAATCACTAACATGAATGACGAGATCCAGTTTCTGGTCATTTTCAAACCTCTAAGATAATCTGAACTAGAGGAGTCCCTCCAGCCCTCTTACCTCTTACCCATGGAGAATACTGATTTTTCACTTTCAGCCAGCATTATGGTAAATATTTTTATTATTAGTTTTATCAGAAAATGTTGTACATACAGGTAATTTCTGATGCACAATTTTATTAGAGCCAGAGATGATCATTTCTTCTAGAAAAACAAATCTCTGAGGTTAGAGTGGAAGACAATGAAACAAGATTTCACTTTATAATTCACCTTTGTCATACTATCCCAGAGCACATCAATATTTATCCGAGTATTACCTTGACATTATATTACAAATTATTAATAGAAAACTCATAAGCCAAAAAACTTTACATTCTCTAATCTTCAACTATCAACTTTTCTTAGATTTTTGAAGATCTGAAAATAAAAATAATTTCAAATAATAGCTTTAAAAAATACCATACAGCCGGGCTCGGTGGCTCAGCCTGTAATCCCACACTTTGGGAGGCTGAGGTGAGTGGATTGCCTGAGCCCGCAGGTTCGAGACCCGCCTGGGCAGGCGAGACCTCATCTCTACAATAAATCAAAAAATTAGCCATGCATGGTAGCGTGCGTCTGTAATTCCGGCTACTTGGAAGGCTGTGACGGAAGGATCGCCGGAGCCCAGCAGGTCGAGGCTGCGGTGGCCAGGAACAGCCACTGCACTCCAGTCTGGGCGACAGAGTGAGACTCCACCTCAAAAAAAAAAAAATACCATACACATTTGTAATGAAGTGCAGCAGTCAATTTTAAGCCTTGGATTTTCTAGGTTTTAGCTGAAATAACCTATACTAGTTTCTTAGATTTTTGTCAGTGTTGTTTTGGGGTTGTTTGCCCAATATATTAATGAGCCATATGAGCATTTGGTATTAGTGGGTTTCTAGCTCCTTAGGGACACAAACACATCCCGTGAACACAGGTGAATGCCCCTAGTTATCCCTGAGCTGGGGCAGTTTCACATGATCATTTTTTCTCTGAGGCCAAAGTCTGTGGTTTGATCTTCTTAGCAGCTTCCAGAACAGAAAGTGGGTTTACTTTATCTCCAAATTCTTTTTCTCGGTGCTCGAGAAGAATGCCCTAAAAAAGAAACAAGAGGAAATGTCAGTCCTCATTCTGAGTTGTTCATTCATGAGACAGACACTGAGGGTCGGCTGTCTGTCAAACAGATCCAAATCAGGCTGGTTCCTGCCCTCAGAGAGTTCAGTCTTTGGGGCAGGTAGCTCAGGGAAGGCAACAGCACAAAGCTGGACTGTACTGGCAGCACTGTAGGAGCAAAAAGTCAGGAGTGATTACTTATGACAAGAGTGGTCAGAGAAGGCTCCACAGATGCTAACGCATGGATGGTAACCAGGATGTCTACAGGTAGAGATGCAGGTAAAAATCATTTCAAGTGAAGAGAACAGAATGAAGTGAACACAAAAAGGCCTAAAGGTATGGAAATGAAACAAGAGATTTTCACTCAGAGGTCAGACTCTGGCAGGCACTGAATGTCAATCTGAAAGGGAGACCCTCTCTGTCTTTTAGTCATCCTAAGAAATCGTAGGTCACTTCTGCTACTGTGAAGCAAAATGCACTAAGACACAAGATATCCCCAAAAAAAGTCTAAAGTGGTAAAAAAGATAATGTGTTTGAGATTGGCATCAAGGAATACTTGTTAGAGTTCTTTGTTTGACCCATGGCATATGGGAATTCATCTTAAATTAAAAAACAAGCCAGGCTCGGTGGCTCAGCCTGTAATCCCCCGCTTTGGGAGGCTGAGGTGAGTGAATTGCCTGAGCCTGAGGGTTCGAGACCCGCCTGGGCAACTTGGCGAGAACCCATCTCTACAATAAATCAAAGAATTTAGCCGGGCGTGATAGCACACACCTGTAGTTCCAGCTACTTGGAAGGCTGAGGCGGAAGGATCGCTGGAACCCAGCAGATCAAGGGTGTGGCCGGGAGTGTAGCCACTGCACTCCAGTCTGGGTGACGGAGTGAGACTCCAACTCAAAAAAAAAAAAAAACTGTAAATATGTTGTATCGTTATTTATAAAGCTTTAGAAAAATAAAAAGTCCCACCACACTATGGTGACTACAGGGAAGCAGATCAGAAAACTATTTATTTGCTCAATGAAGCATAATGCAGTCATTAAAAACACTAAGAATATAAAATAACATAGAAAAATGTTCACAATACACTGTTAAATGAACAGAGAACATCTATTTTAATAAGATACAGTTTTCTTTCTTTTTTTTTTTCTTGAGTTGGAGTCTCACTCTGTCACCCAGGCTGGAGTACAGTGGCTGCTCCCGGCCCCCACAGCCTCGACCTGCTGGGCTCCAGCTATCCCTCCGCCTCAGCCTTCCAAGTAGCTGGAACTACAGGTGTACGCTACCACACCTGGCTAATTTTTTTTTAATTTATTGTAGAGATGAGGTCTTGCCAAGTTGCCCAGGCGGGTCCCGAACCTGCGGGCTTAGGCAATTCACTCACCTCAGCTTCCCAAAGTGCAGGATTACAGGCTGAGCCACTGAGTCCCACTAAGATACAGTTTTCTTTTTTTTTGAGTCGGAGTCTCACTCTGTCGCCCAGACTGGAGTGCAGTGGCCGCTCCCGGCCACCGCAGCCTCGACCTGCTGGGCTTGGTGCTCCTTCCACCTCAGACTTCCGAGTAGCCGGAATTACAGGCATGTGCTACTACGCCTGGTTGATTTTTTTTGACTTATTGTGGAGATGAGGTCTCGCTGCCCAGGCGGGTCTCGAACCTGCGGGCTCCGGCAATCCACTCACCTCAGCCTCCCAAAGGCATGGGATTACAGGCTGAGCCACCGAGCCCAGCAAGATACAGTTTTCTAAAAAAGAAAGACAGGCAGGCCACTCAGTTTTGTTCCAATAGATAGTCTATGATGTTTGAGCTCACAGGATGGTTCTTCCCATCTCCTGTTGTTCTGTCATTTTACAATTTTCTATAGCGTACTTCTTTCTTAGTGTTTTTTTTTTTCTAGTTGGAGTCTCACTCTGTCACCTAAGCTGGAGTGCTGGGGCACGCTCATGGCCACCACAGCCTTGACCTACTGGGCTCAGGCAATCCTTCTTTCTCAGCCTTCCAAGTAGCTGGAACTACAGGCATATGCCACCATGCCTGGTTAATTTCTTGATTTATTGTAGAGAGAGGTCTTGCCAAGTTGTCCAGGCCGGTCTTGATTCCCTGGGCTCAGGCAATCCTCTTGCCTCCACCTCCCAAAGTGGTGGAATTACAGGAGTGAGCCACTGTGCCTGGCCATCTTTCTTCTTTTTGTTTTTTTGATTTGGAGTCTCACTCCATTGCCCAGACTGGAGTGCAGTGGCTGCTCCTGGTCACCGCAGCCTCGACCTGCTGGGCTCTGGCAATCCTTCCGCCTCAGCCTTCCAAGTAGCTGGGACTACAGGCGCACACTACCATGCCTGGCTGATTTTTTGGTTTGTTGTAGAGATGAGGTCTCGCCAAGTTGCCCGGACGGGTCTCGAACCTGCAGGCTCAGGCAATTCACTCACCTCAGCCTCCCAAAGCGCTGGGATTACAGGCTGAGCCACCGAGCCCAGCTCATTTTTCTTCTTTAAAGTAAGCATGCTTTAAAGATTACTATTACCAAGGAAATCCCCACTGAGTAGCACCTGGTGTGGTAGGACTGCAAAAACTCTACTCCCAAGAACTGAGGTAAATCCTGAAGCTCAGCCAGCCCAGACAACCTTCCACCTGGAAGGATGATGTCCAGAAGCTCCAGGGAGTACCAACAAAGTCAAACAAGAAACCTAGCAACACAAGAACTGTGCCAGCAGGGCCCGTGAACACCAGATGAGTCATTGCTAGGCAAGAAAAGGCTGGCAGGTATGCCAAGCTGTGCCCCAGAGGCCACAAAAAGGCAGAGACAAGAAGAAAGGAAGCCCACAGTGCCAGAGCAGGAAGAGGATGGGCAATTCTCTGGACAAGTGGCCTAAGTTTAAGGGCATCTGGAAAGGGTCACTGGGAACCACCTCTAAGGAGAGGCTACGTGCAGGGGGAGGGCAGGTCTCTGGACCTGGACAGACCTGGATTTCATTTCCATTGTACCAATTACTAGTTGTGTCTTTGGCTGAGTTATTTCATATCTTTAGGCCCACTTTCTTACATGTAGCTGGGAATAAAAATATCTACATCTCAGACTGGTTGTGAGGGAGACATACGATCTTGTATTCGAGCACCTGGAACAAAGCAGGCACTCACTGGCAGCCATTATCACTAAGACATTTTAACAGATTTACCAGAAAATCTGCAAATAGGATTATGTTAAATCAGACATTGTTTTATGCTAAATTCTAATACAGTCAAGCAAAAGCAGATACCAAAGTGTAAAGGGAAAACAAAAGAAATAAAGCTTAAAAATCAAAGGATTTCTGTGTTCTTTTATTCTTCTCAAATTGAGAAATATATGTAATTATCAATGTTAGTAGTGAGATCCAACAATTAGACAAGCTCCATTTTTCTATAGAAAGAAAACACTTTCTACATATGTTAATGTCATGCCCAAGGTTGGCAGAAACAAGCCTAGAAGTCAGGTCACCAGTCCAGGTCCTCCTCCTGTGCCATGACCAGTCCGCATCCACTTTGCCCCATCCCTGCTACACATTCACACGGCCTTTGCTGGCACTGCCCTCCAGGTTGGAGGAGTCACCACAGCTCAAGGCTGCCCAAACTCAGACAGGGGGCAGATATTAAAAATACTAAAAATACCAGGGGAGGGGGCCACATTTCATCAACAAGGGTACCTGCATAATGAACATTTGTATACCTAAACCTGAATTGTACCCCACAGTTTTAAAATTAAAAAATTTAAAAAAAATACTAAAAATAGCTGAGTGCGGTAGCTCAAGTCTGTAATTCCAGCACTTTAGGAGGTGGAGGAGAGAGGATTGCCTGAGCCCAGTGGTTCGAAACCAGCCTGAGCAACTTGATGAGACCTCGGCTCTACCATAAATCAAAATTAGCTGGGTGCAGTGGCACATGACTTTAGTTCCAGCTAATTGGAAGGCTGAGGCAGAAGGATCACCTGAGCCCAGCATGTAAGGCTGTAGTGGCCATGAGCATGCCACTGCACTCCGGCCTGGGTGATAGAGTGAACTCCAACTCAAAAAATAAAAAACAAATAAATAGATAAATACTAAAAATACTGCACACCTGCCTTTTGGGCCCACAAAAATCCCCATCTCTTCTTCTTTTTTTTTCTTTTTTTGAGTCAGAGTCCCACTCTGTTGTCCAGGCTGGAGTGCAGTGGCATGATCACCAGCCTCTACTCCCTGGCCTCAGCCTCCTGAGTAGCTGGAACTATAGGTGCTTGGCACCTCTCCCGGCTAATTTTCTTGATTTTTTTGTGAGACGAAGTTTTGCTATGTTGCCTAGACTGGTCTCAAACTCCTGGACTCAAACAACCCTCCTACCTTGGCCTCCTAAATTGCTGGAATTACAGGTGTGAGCTACCAGTCAACGCCATTTCTTCTTTTTATGCCTTCCTTTAGTGTTCTGACCTACAATAGTCTGTCTGCAGAGCAGTAGGTTTCCTCTTCTGGGGCAGCCCCAACACCAAGACCCCTACAGGGAAAAACATGATCTCCCCCAACTTCTTGCTGCTTCCCCTAATTAGAACTGTTTTTCTTCCTTCTTTCCTCTTCACTTTTCTCTACTGTCCATCCTTGATAGCCTGGGAACACTGCAAGTGAATACATTCACAAACAGAATAAAAACTATGCTTTTGTTCAAGCACAGAAAACAACCTGAAGTCAGAAAACCAGTGTTCAGGCCCCAGCAGAGTCACCCATGAACTGTGCTCCTTGGTGTAGTCATTCATTCCTTCTTAGTTTCAAGTTCCTTGTCTACAGAATGATCAGACTATTTCATGGTGTCACTGTGATGTATATGTGAGGTACCAGCAGGAAACAGATGTGTGATAAATGACAACTGCCCTCCTTTCCCTTCCTTGTGCTCCCTGGCTTGCCAGAAGGAAGGCTAGAAGACCTCAAATAGGGAAAGTCAACACCCACCCCTGGTCTCTGGCTGGGGTCTCACACACACAGACACAGACACTCACAGATGCAAAATAAACACCAATAACTTACCTGCTTTCCTGATCCCACCACAAAAACTCCCCCGAGGATGAAACCTTCACCTTCCAGGTTTCCAGAGAAACCTCCATTCCAGGCCCGGAAGAAGTTGTACCACACTCCCAGACGAATAAATCCCATGAACATCATCTTCCGCCTTTGTGGACCATAAAACTTTTTCTATTGAGTGAAAAAGATAGATCTCACATGAGTAGCCTATATGCCTGCCTTCTCCTGGGAAGCAAGGCTCCAGACAGGGCATTTGCTCGCAGGCAAAGACCCAAAGCCTGCCGGTTTGTGTCCGCTCCCTGACCTAAAACACACGTAGCTCCCACCCAGGACCTCTCTCAATTGCCTGAGGAAACAAAGAACCCTGCTGGGTCCAGTTTTCAACCTCAAGGCAGGCCCAACCTAGGGAAACAGATTTGCAGCTTTCAACTTTTACTCTAACTTCTCACTAGTTCTTGCACTTGCCAGGGTGGTACCAGTGCCAACGTCTGCAGAAATGGGAGTAGAGGGGAAAGAAATATGGCTGCAATGAATTAGGGGACAGAAAGTTTGTGCTAGGAATAACCTGATGGGGTTTCAGCTATTTCCTACCCTCCCAGGTCACACTATAGCAAGAGCTTTAGTAATATAAATGCTCCATGACTCCCAATGGAGTTACATCCTGATAAACCCATCATCGTCAGCTGAAAATACTGTATGTTAACATGCATCTAATACACGTTTACTGAACATCATAGTGTAACCCAGAGTATCTTAAACATGCTTAGAACACTTACATTATCCTACAGATGGGCAAAAGCATGTAACAAGTCTATTTTATAATCAAGTGTTGACTATGTTAGGTAATTATTGAATACTGAAAGTGAGAAACAGAATGGTTGTATGGGTCCTCAAAGCACAGCTTCTACTGTATCGCTTTCACACCATCATAAAGTTGAAAAGTTAGAAATTGAACCATCATTAATCAAGGACCATCTGTAACTGAGGGGACGGCTTTAAAATGTCTGCTCGAGCTCTGCTTCGAGAGCTGGAAAATGCCCTCCAAGTTCAGGGCGCTGAAGGGGAAGCCAACCTCCAGTTCCAGGCCAGACACACCCTGGGTCACCAAACTCTCCAAAATTGAACACAATCCCCAGCAGTCTGTGTCCAAAAGGCTCCCAGCAGACACACCTTCTCATCCAGGAAGATTTCCCCTTTGAAATAAGGCTGGAAATCCTTCACTTCAGTCTTGATCTGCTCCTTCACTACTGCATAGAGGGGGACACCCAGTTCATCCAGCTTGGGTTTCAAGGAGGACAGGTCCGCAGCCTCCTGCAGAAGACACCAAGGTTCAGAAACATGAACTTCTGTGGCTCTGCAGCCAACAAACAACCTCTCTTCCCAACAGGCCCAGAGCATGGCTGGCATTGAACATAGAGGAACAATTTAGCCTGTGTAGACTAGCATGCGTCTGCTCCAGCTGGGCACTAGGCCTCAGTGAAAGGTGTCAGGTACCCTCCTCAGCCCAGGCTTCCTGTCTTCTCCACAGTAGGAATGGAGGCAAAGGTTCTGTTATGAGTGTCCTGACCATAGCCTAGGCAGCAGTCATAAATATGAGGATGCACCCAGAAACATCTTCTACTCCTACCTACGAGGTGCTTCTCTCCTGCCTCATCTCCCAGTCCCTCCCCTCTGCACTACAGAAAATGAGCATAAGGGCCCAGCAGACACTTCCCGCTCAGGCCATGTGAATGGCTGCCTCCACATTCTGCTCACTCTCCTCCCCTACAAAAACTTTCCTTCTCTCTCCAGTTCAACTCTACCCCCTGGAAAGGTAGCCCTGGTTCCAAAAAGATCTTCCTGGCTGGTCCAGCCAGGATTGAAGCCCTGCTTCTCTGTACATATTCTATCTTCCCTGTTTAATGAACGACTTTTTTTGTAACGAGTCTATAAGTTACCACTAAGTTGAGTGTTGTCACAGGATCCCAAATGTGTCTCCCAGACACAAAAACTATGTCTTCCATTTCCTGGAACTTGGATATACAGTCAGCACTAAATACCAGGTGGAAAGATTTGAAGGCGGGACAATGGTGAAAAGCTGAGCTGAGAGGTACAGACATCCCTGACCCTCAGGAACTGAGTGCTGGATGAATAAATGAAACAGCATGAGTCATCCTAAGGTTTCAACATTAAGAACTATTTCCTTTATCACATTTGGTGTCAGAAGTAAAGAATTAGCAAGGAAATGCTTTCAACAAAGCCTACTCATCTCCAATACATTTACACCACTGTATGGTAGCAATGACATTTAATTTTTTATTTATTTTCTAAAAGAAAAAAAGCTAGGTGTGGTGGCTTACACCTGTAATCCCAGTAGTTTGGGAGGCAGAGGCGAGAGGATTGTCTGAATCCAGGGGTTTGAGACAAGCCTGAGCAACTTGGTGAGACCTTGTCTCAACAATTAAAAAAAAAAAATTAGCTGGGTGTAGGAGCCCATGCCTGTAGTTTCAGCTACTTGGAAGGCTGAGGCAAAAGGACTGCCTGAGCCCAGCAGATCGAGATTGCAGTGGCCGTGAGTGTGCCACTGCACTCTAGCCTGGGTGACAGAGTGAGACTACGATTCAAAAAAAAAAGGAAGAAAAATATCTAATGAAGCAGAATTGATTACTATACATTTATCAAGAGCTTCAGTGACTGGCAAATTCTGCCCTAGAACAGAGAGGACTACAACATCTGATGTGATCAAAGACCATCTGTTTGTGAAACAAAAGGTTTTACTCAGTTTTCCTGGGCTCTTTACTCTCAGTATGGCATTATACAAAGCCATTAAGTGGAAACTGAGTCACACACCTCCTCCCTGGGCCATCAAAATAACTCAGACTGCCATCTGACCATCCTTCTGGAAACATAAGTTTCCACAAGATGTTCTGCCAGGCCACAGGCTAGTGGAAAGGAAACAGCTTATAATCAGGGAGAGCTGCTACTCTTGGAATCTTGGGGATTCACCAGCCTTGAGAAATCAAGTCAAAACACGTTTCCATGTTGGTATTTGGATGCATCACAGATTTAGAATCAAAAGCCATTTCAACTCCACCTACCTGGTTGAATAAGCTTCTAGAGATGTCCACATTTGAACTCCTGGAACCTGTGAATATGTTATGTTACACAGCAAGAGGACATTAAGGCTGAGATGAAGTTTAGGTTGTTAATCAGCTAACTTTCTTTTTTTTTTTTTGAGTTGGAGTCTCACTCTGTCACTCACTCTGTCACCCACTCTGCGCCTGCTCCCAGCCACTGCAGCCTCGACCTGCTGGGATCTGGCAATCCTTCTGCCTCCACCTTCCAAGTAGCTGGAACTACAGGCGTGCACTACCATGCCCGGTTAATTTTTGATTTCTTGTAGAGATGAAGTCTCGCCAAGTTGCCCAGGTGGTTCTCGAACCCGTGGTCTCAGGCAATCCACTCACCTCAGCCTCCCCAAACACTGAAATTAATAGGCTGAGTCACCAAGCCAGACCAGCTAACCTTCAACTAAGGAGATTATCCTAGATGATCTAGGTGGGTCCAAAGTAGTCCCAAGGTTCTTAAATGTGGAAGAGAAAGATATAAAAGCTGGTGTCTTAGTGATGCAGTACAAGAAGACTTAACCAGCCATTGCTAACTTTAAAAACAGAGGAAGGGGCCATGAGCCAAGGAATACAGGTGGCCTCTAGAAGCTGGAAAAGGCAAAGAAATGGATTCTTCCCTACAGCCTTCAGAAGGAATGCAACCAGATTCCACTTTGGAATTCTGACCTCCAGAACTATAAGACAAATTTGTATTGTTTAAAGTCACCAAGTTTGGGATAATTTGTTATAGGATTAGGATGCTAATTCACCTCCCCAAGCAGTGTGGCTTTGTTACAACCTCTGTACCTGTTTCCTTCTCTGTAATAAGAATAACAAGAAGCTGTATTTCCAAGGGACATGTTGAGGAACCACTGAGATACAACAGACACAAAAGCGCCTTGAAGGTAAGCTGGTGCAGATGCATCCAGCAGTGCACAAGGACTCTTTGCCAACCCAACCATACAAGCATGGAGAGATCCACAAAGCTGAAAGGAAATGCCTCGGGGTCAGGGAGGGCAACCAGATGGATGAGCATAATAATTTGGGCAGGGCCACAGTCGCTACTTGAGAAGCCAAGTTGTCTCAAGATAGGAGTACCATCATTCCCAGTTTTCTTCCAGGCAAGGCAGTGATCTCAGAACCAGGATCTTCTGCCACCGACTAGCTGTGTGACCATGGACAGGTCACCAAACCTGGTCCTCAGTTTACCCATCTGTAAAGTGACAAGGCTGGACTCAAGTATTTGCAGTGTTCACTCTGGCACTAGCATTTTGTATTTCAACAATCACAGTTCCTGCCTGCCTTCCCTTGACAAGCTTCCTCACTAATTGAACAGATGACAATGACTTCCCTTTTGCAGGGCCAACCTTGAGACCACTTAGTCAGTGAGCCCAACTTTCACCAAACTCTCAAGCCAAATGTACTCACACTATCGGCATGACTGAAATTCTCCTACCAAGCTACAGATTCAATGCTGAGAGCACACAGTGAGGCGGCACAGATATACCACGCTTGAGTGTGCAGCTCTCAGTTGTCCACAATGGGCTCTTTAGGAGATCCCCAAGAAGAGGGAGAAAGGCAGGTCTGTTCTAACATGTGCCGCCAAAGTGTTTCCCCATAGGCTGCAACTTCATCAAAGGAAGGGGCAGACCATACTGGAATCAGTAGCAATCCAGACACCCAATTTCTTTTCTTTTCTTTAATTTTATTTATTTATTTATATATTTATTTATTTATAAAGATGTGGGTAGACACCCAATTTCAATAAACAAATCCCTTCTGTGTGCCAAGGCCCATGGGGAGCATCAGGAACATGGAACTGAAACTGGTCGCTGCCCTTGATTAAATGGGAGGACCATCCGAGGTACAGACGTACAGTACAGGGTGAAAGGCTTAAGAGTACTAAGGGTAAGTCAGATCTATTGCTAACCCCAGCAGGAGATAGCACGTTGTTAAAACACAAAAAGGAAATGAGCCAAAAGAAATATATACCTAGAACAAATAACAGAGAACAGATCAGTGTTGATGAAGCCCTTGGTCCTGGCTGGAAATGCACTGGCCCCTGCATCGGGATCCTTTTCTCTGAACAGTCCCTCAAATGCACTCACCTCTCGACAGAGGAAACAGCCTGGCCTGCGCACAGCCATAATCACAGCTCCATTTTTCTCCCAGAGCTTCTTTGCTTTGAAAGTCTTTGGTTCTGAGAGAGAAGAAAAGAAAATTCAGTATCTCCTCCCAGCCCAGCCCCATCACTAGGCAGCTTGCGAACTACACTAAGCTAAGCTGAGGTCAGAGGGCCTGGACAGGCATTTCTCATATGGGAAAAGAAAAATAGGAAGCACAGGGAATATTTAAGAATCCCACTGTATACTCGAAAGGTTCCTCCTCCATAAAAATCTATTTTCAAACTTGAACATTGTAAACTAGAACATTTCTGGAAGAATCGCAATTTCCTTGATCACTGATGTCATCAGATATTATAACAATCCTTTAGGGTAGAAACATGGCCCAAACTGAAAAAAAATCTCATGCAAATTTTAATCTAAATATAACTGCAATATTATTAGCAGAGGAAAGTAGAAATGCCCAACAAGGAGATGCTTTAGGGTGGTACATTACCAGAGTTCAAGCCTGGTTCCAAGGTCAGACAAGGTTTGAATCTACTTTTGTGACCCTGGCAAGCTATTTTTTCTCTTTGAAGCTCAGCTTTTTCATTTGCAAAATACAGGTATCTAGTAGCTCCACTTTGGGTTGCAGGGAGTATTACAAGATTAATATAAAAGTGGTTGCCGCAGTGTCTCGTAATATAGAATTAGTAAGGGCTCAGTAAGTATGAGCTCTTATTATTTTAGGATTTCCCAGAGGGATTTGTGTCCCCATGGAATGTTATGGGGATGGGGAAGAAGAGACAGGGTAGAGTCTGTAATCAAGTAAGATAGAGAAACCTGAGCTGAACAAAACTTAACAAGTCTCTCTGCAAGGTTTCTTAGTGCCTTATTAAGGTGACCCATCATAAATCTGCACAATCACAACTCCTGCCTTCCTTTGACAACTTCCTCACTCACTGAACAGATGACAATGGTTGGCTCCCATAGGGGTCTAACCTGGAGATCACTCGGTCAATGAGATCCAACCTTCACCTATCACACTTTCCTGTCACACCACTGGCATTATGGAAATCCCACCAAGCTCCAGCTCTAACAGTGAGAGCATGCAATGAAGGCAGAGATATTGCACTTGAGTGTGTGGCTCTCAGTTGTCCACAGATGGACTCTAGGGGGTCTTCAAGAAGAGGGAGACAAGCAGGCCTGTTCTATAGGTGTGAGCTTAAAGCACGTCCTCACAAACTGCAGCTTCATCATGGTAGGGGCTGACACTTCATTTGAATAAGCAAATCCACTGAGTGCCAGGCCCCATGCTGAGTAGCAGAACATGGAACTGGATAAGATCCCACAAGACTGGAATTCCTCAGAATACACTCTGGAAGGGCTGGTTTAGTAAACGATAGTAATTATTACTAAATATTATGGAGCAACTTACCATATTAGTTTGAGAGATAACAACTGAGAGTGAAAAGGCTTTTGGTAAGAAAAGCTAAACTGTAAAATCGCACTTACACCAAGATCACAATTATCTAATCATATGTATACATGGAAAGGAATTTGCCAAAATGAAAATGATTATTGTGTTAGGGTAACTGAATTATTTGTAGCTTAAAAAATATTATTCCTGAGCCGGACTCGGTGGCTCAGCCTGTAATCCCGCGCTTTGGGAGGCTGAGGTGAGTGGACTGCCTGAGCCCGTGGGTTCGAGACCTGCCTGGGCAACTTGGCAAGACCTCATCTCTACAGTAAATCAAAAATTAGCCGGGCATGATAGCGTGTGCCCGTAGTTCCAGCTACTTGGAAGGCTGAGGTGGAAGGATCGCCGGAGCCCAGCAGGTCGAGGCTGCGGTGGCCGGGAGCGGCCACTGCACTGCAGTCTGGGTGACAGAGTGAGACTCCAACTCAAAAACAAGACAATTATTCCATTTTTTTCTAACATTGTTAGAGTGCCTTTTCAATTAAAAAAAGAGATCTTTTAAAAATAAAAAAGCAAGTAATTCTGCATCCCAGTACCTTGGAAAAGTACTGAGACCAGCAGGGTCACCACTTACCCTTCTCCAGTGTTTTCAGGTCTATATCCTCCAGATACTCCAGCGCCGCTTTCTGGGGCTTGGACAGAAACACGTCTGTGTTGGCCAGGAGCAGTGCCAAGGCAGCAGCCCCCAGGGCTCCTGCACCAATGGACCACATTCCCATGGTGAAGAAACTTGGGTCCTGGAGGAAAGACATTTCTGGAGATTGAGAGGAAGGAAGAAGACGTTACTGCTCCCACAGGATAGGTGGAATCTGATCTCCCATGCAAGGCTGTAGTGGGGCAGCCAACCAGGAAGCCAGGATGGGATGGGGGAGCAGTAGCCTCAGAGATGACACTGGACAAGGATGACTAAACACCTGTGCTGCCAGAGCTTGGGAATGCAACAGACACATGGAGGTTTCTGCCACAGGGAGCTCACCAGGGTGTCAGGAGTGACAACAGAGAGAGGATGGCCTTCTCAGGTGCTTCTCTTTCTGATCCTTCTCCCACCCCAGGCTACAGCCCCCAGCTCTGTGGTGCCCTGCTCTGCTGGGTCCCCTGGAGGCAGATTACCTCCTCACCCCACTCCTTATCAATGCCTGATTCTCCTTCCCAGTACAGGTGGCCCAGCTATCGTCTCCCAGGTTAGGGGCAGCTTTCTCTGGTGTGATGAGAAGATATTTAGAACACCAATCACATTGTTTTGTTACCCTATCTCCTTTTCTCTTTAGTTTGAGAATCCTCCAGAAAGAAGGACCATATGTTCCTTATCAAGCCCCCAGTCAGTGCCCAGCAGGGCCTCACTCATGTTAAGCAGGCAGTCTCAGTAAATTTCTCCCAACTAAGAATAGTTTTATTTTTCCCTCATTAGAAAAACAATGAGGTAAAAACAAAACAAACAAAAAAGGCATTACATAAAACCACAGTCAACAAGACAGCAAATATCCTCTGAAGCACCTACTGACAGCCACTGTTAAACACCAGTGTGCAATCTGACATCTCCCCCCGCCCCAAACAGAACTACACAGATGTCTGCCAAACATGGGAGCAGAGACTGAGCCAGCAGGCATTAAATCAGAAAAAGCCGGTGCTGTGGTGTCTGCCTCTGAGGAGGCTGGGCAGAAGATGCCTGCATGAGGCAAGGGTCTCTGCAACTGAAATGGAGTCCCAGGCAGGTCCTGTCAGAATTCAGCCTTGTTCCCAGGTTGGGCCTGGGTGCCTAACTGACTCCCTCCAGCTGGGAAGCCTTGTGCCTGTGGGTAACAGCTCCTGGAGCCAGCCCACCAGATACCCACCCAGCCATCCTTCTCCTGACAACCACTTACAATAACTATGCTTCCACTAGGCCAACATGCCATCCTAGCATCTGACTTACAGTGGTGCTTTCCTCCCTAGGTACCAGTCTGCTTCCATGTGCTTAGATCACTGGAGTTAGGCCTAGATGTGTGTGGGGGGTGGAGGGGGGCACCTAATCTTAGCCTATCTAAACTCCGACTCAACTTTCCCTTACAGGACTTGGCCAGGAGAGGGTTTCTCAAAGCATCAAGCAAAGGTCTGGAAATCTGAATGTCACTGCCAAGGGAGGGGGCTGTGAAGGGTGCACTTCAGCGAGGTGGGGCAAGAATGACTGAGTGGTGATGACTTTGGGAAGAAAAAGGCAGACCTGTGTGGAAGCTGCCTGGGAAATTCAGATTTAAGACATAAAAGATAAATTCCAGGCAATGGGTGACCAAAATGAAAACATTTAAGAAAGAGGAATTTGGCATCTATGTACTTGGGAAGAGCAAAAACAAGGGGAAATCAGTGTGTGTATGTTGGAGGAGGGGTGCTGCTATGGTGTCTCTAACTTGAGGGACTCAAGCTAGGAGAGAATTTCTTGTTACTACTTAAAATATGGTCTATCAGCCGGGCTCGGTGGCTCAGCCTGTAATCCCGCGCCTTTGGGAGGCTGAGGTGAGTGGATTGCCTGAGCCCGCGGGTTCGAGACCCGCCTGGGCAGCAAGACCTCATCTCTACGATAAATCAAAAAATCAGCCGGGCGTGGTAGCGCATGTCTGTAATTCCAGCTACTTGGAAGGCTGAGGCGGAAGCATCGCCGGAGCCCAGCAGGTGAGGCTACGGTGGCCGGGAGCGGCCACTGCACTCCACTCTGGGCAACTGAGTGAGACTCCAACTCAAAACAAAAACAAAAAATAAAAAATAAAATAAAATAAAATATGGTCTGTGGGCTGGCAGCATTGGCACCTTCTAGAAACTCAGAATCTCAAGCCCCACCTCAGAAATAGATTTTTTTTTTCTTTTTGAGTTAGAGTCTTACTCTGTCACCCAAACTGAAATCCAGTGATACTTCAGAGTCTTACTCTGTCACCCAAGCTGGAGTTCAGTCAGTGATCCTTCACAGCTACTGTAGCCCTGACCTTCTGGGTTCAGGTGATCCTACTGCTTCAGCCTTCCTAGTAGCTGAAGCTACAGGTGCACACCACTATGCCCGGCTATTTATTTATTGTGGAGATGAGGTCTTACCAAGTTGCCCAGACTGGTCTCGAACCCTTGGGTTCAGGCAGTCCTCTCACCTCAGTCTCCCAAAGTGCTAGGATTACAGGCATGAGCCACTGTGCCTGGCTAGAAATAAGGAACCTTAAGCTTCATTTTAGTCAGACTGGCAGGTGATTTATAAGCACATTCAAGTTGGAGAAGCATTGTCTTACAGCAAATAATTCAGGACTTTGTGCTTGGTTGGCCATAAGCCACAAAAAGTACAGTCACAAGGGTAGGCTGGCCTTGAAGAACTGGACCCTTCTCAAGTCCCAGCTTTTGTTCCCTCAGCTTACTGTGGGAAAGCAACAACAGTCACAGACAGACGAGAACACATCCCTGTGCCCAAACCACACCTGGGATCCTTCTGATGTGCTTGACACACTGGCCTGGACCAGTCAGATTTCTTTTCTTCAACTGTGTTCCTCAGTTTATATCTTAATATCTTGTGCCTAGCAATGCATACCTGGTACACAGTGGGCTTACCACAAATGTGTGCCAGAAATTAGTTCAACAGAATTGAAAGATGAAGATGACAGTTTTTGAACACCCAAAGTTCTTGGGCCAAGCAGGAAAGAACCTTCTAAGGCCTGCTTCTAATTATTTTACGTAGCAAAGTTACACATTACTAGATTATAATTCACAGACCAATTAGGAGGAAAACCACAGCTCTCACCTGCTTGTTGTAAACAGGAGACTCCCCAGAGCCTGGAACAATGTCTATTCCTTTACGCACTTCTAAAACATCCCTGGATTTCTGACGTGTGTCTGACTCAGGAGCACACGGAATGGTCTCTGATCACCGACTTGAGAGGCATTTCTGCATCAGTATACAAAGACCACCTTATAGCTATCCTACAAATGGGTTCTCTTTGATTCCTGGGGTACATAAGTGCATTCAAGAAGTCCAGAACCCCTCAGCTCCACATCCTTCAACACACCCCTGCTGCACACAGAGGCAAGTGGGCTCTCCCTCCCCTTTCCCAACGATGGGCATTTGGCCTGTCTGCTACTGAGCATGAGGGAAATCAACTCAACTCAACTCAACATTTATTCAAAAAAATGGCAATTTGAAAGGACATAAAATGAAATGACATATAATCCTCAAGATGATCAGGCCTGGAACACAAATTTTAAAAAAAGCAAGTGGGAAGGTGAAGCAGCTTGGGCAAGGTACGAACATGAGGCCTCGGCAGTGCAAAGATGAGAGCCAGTCTGGGCAGCCACAGAAGCACCCAGAAGCAAGTGGCTCTGGAACTAGTGTAGGACACAGCAGACAGGATAGAAGCGCGAGACTGAGACTGGGCTAAGCCTGGGAAGCAGCAGGCTGACTGGATGTCAGTGCTGAAGGCACCTTGAGAACCCAAACTCCTATGTCTCAAGTTCAAGGGCTAGGGTACAAGATCTGGGCTTCAAAACCCCTAGGAGTACAGTTTTCCACCCCACCCCCAACTTCACCCTGGTCTGTGATCCAGAAGGTGTGAGCAGAGAATCGCCCCTCTGAGGAGGGACCTCATCCTCAGGCCCGGCAGCACCACACCGAGAGAGCGAGAGTGTTATCAGGACTGGTGGTGAGAGTTAGGCCTCTCTGTGAATGTATGGCTCCCTGTGAGCCTCTAGCAGCTGGCTCTTCTGCCAAGGAGAAGCAGTGAACATTCACTTCTGAGATCACCTGGAGAGCGCACAGGGCCAGCCCTTCAGCCAAGCCTCTATCCTCCCGAGCTACGAAGCAACTCCCATCCTGGCACGTCTTGGATCATGTACCACCACAACCAGCTGCAGTGTGCGCAGACGCAAATCTTGAACCACCCACAAAAAAAGGCAGGCAGAAGGAGCTTTAATATCTAAACAGATACAATGCATTTTCACATGGATATCTCTCTTTTTTTTTCTTAGTTGGAGTCCCACTCTGTCTCCCAGGCTGGAGTGCAGTGGCACACTCACTGCCACCCCAGTGTTGACCTGTTGGACTCCGACGATCCTTCCGCCTCAGCCTTTCAAGTAGCCGGAACTACAGGCACACGCTACCACGCCCAGCTAAGTTTTTGATTTATTGTAGAGATGAGGTTTTGCCAAGTTGCCCAGGTTGGTCATGAACCCACAGGCTCAGGTAATCCACTTGCCTCGGCCTCCCAAAGTGCTGGGATTACAGGTTGAGAAACTGAGCCCAGCCTTCACATGGGTATCTAAGACCACTGACAGGGGGCCAGTAATTCAGCATTTACTTAATTTCAATTGACATACATGGCCTAATTTCACTCACTCAACAGTCTTGTGATGCAGAGATTATGCTGTTTAGAGACTGACAATACTGAGGTTCAGAGAAATTCATTAACTCCCCCAAGGTCACAGCCAGCAAGCAGGGGTACTACAACCTGGCCTCAGGTCAACAGGAATAGGACTCCAAAGTTTGCAGTCTTTCTACTCTCACACCTTGCATCGTCACACATTCAGAAGGGAGTTTTTGGAGATCAAGGGGTACGATTCCCTTTGCCTTTAAGTAAATTTTTAAAAATCATTTTCTTTTTTCAGTCATTAAATATACATATAGTCAAACCACGTTTACTCTAAAGGAAATTTACCATACACCAGATGTACCCTCTCTTTCTTCCCCTTTCCATCCCCCTTCTGTTAAGAAAAGGGTCAGTTTCTCTGAAAGAGAATAGCAAGTTGTTTACAGAA